TTAATTCACGCATGTGTGTCATTTACTTGGAGTTAATTAGAAAATTAAGAATGCTGAAGATGAATTACTTTTGCGGTTTTGTGCAACATTTTATGTGCGGCAAGTTGAATAATGAATAAGCCATAAATATTCATATATTCCAGTGGATTTTCGAAATGAATGAGGCGAGATAGTACTGCAATTTAGGGCTGGAGACTATACCATATTATTATTCAAAGTGCATACCATTTCTTTTTATTAAGGGGCACACCTAGTGTGATAGCCCACGGTTATTGTTGTTGTAGCGAAAGTTTTCCGAGTTGACAGTTCTTAGGCGAATAAAAATCCTTGTCCGTTCCTGTTACGTAGACCCGACTGTCGTGGGAACGGACTCGCGGTCTCCGACGACGCAAAAAAAATATATTTTTCTCCGAGGAATCACTCCAGTAAGTTTGATAAAGTAATATTTTAGTAGGTGGTTAGGTAGGTAGTCTGAGAGATAGATAGTCTCTAAAATAGAAGTAGATACTTCTGTATTACTCGCCTACTTAATCTTAATTATGATTCTTTTATATGTGTAAGTATGGTATCAATCTAAAGCGCCACAAGGTTTCATTGTTTTTGTTTTTGTACTAAACCCAATCTTTTCAATCAAAACTTAGTATATATATCTCGCAGGATATAATTCAAGATATTTATGATATTGAAAAGTACTCCTCATTTACACAAACACCCATTGAAATTATCTGAAATACTGCTACACACAATATCCGGGGAAATAATAATTCTTATAGCCAATCGAAACTGATAAAAGCCCTCAGGTGGGAAATTGCTTCTTAAGCGAGAAATGTATAAATAAACGATAAGCAACGGAGTAATGTACGACAATAAAAAATGCGCTCAACGAAATACAGCCATTTAACCGTTACTCACAGCTTACACACCTCCAAATACTGCAGTTGCACCTTTGGTGCTCATTTCACTTCCGCCAGCAACCGCACAATTTATTACCCATTCGATCGGGCACTTGCGCATGGTTGCATCGGCTAAGCAAATACAAATATATGCATGCGTGTCTTGGCGCAGGCGCCTCTTGTACGCCCACTACTGTTTGCGCATATTTACGGTTTAGCGCCTTGAGTACTATTGGTGTTTGCTTTTACCCAAGTACCCGGCAGGCAGCGGTGTTCTGAGTGAGTGTGGATTTTCAATCAAGACATTATTTACGGGCTTGTAAGTGTGAGATTTTGGCTATTGTTGTTGTATCTAAAGGTACGCATATGCAAATTAGCAATCATCTCCTTGTGGCATTATTGATGATGTTTAAAATGCACCAAAAATGTTCAACTTAGTGAGATTATTCACATGGTGTTCATTAAGGTTATGTCGGCAGTTAAGTTTTTCTACTATCTTTTTCCCTATAACTTTTATTAGGTTTTTACTCGCTTTTTTATATAATTTTGCTACTAAATCTATTTCAAATTTTTTGCTAATTTTTCTACTATCTTTTAGCTATAACTTTTTCTACTTTTTCAACTACATTTTTCGATATAACTTCTTTTCTACTAACTTTTTTCCCAGAATTTCTACTATTTTTTCTACTATCTTTTTTCTACAACTTCTACTACTCTGTTACCAGTTTTTGGTATGAATTCTAAAATTTTGCTTACTAGTTTTTTCTACTCGCTTTTTTATACACATATGTACATACATCTGCTACTATTCTATTTTCTTCTTTTTCTTCTTCTCCTCTTCTTGCCTACCCTTTTCGTTGGAACTTCTTATATCTTTTTTGCTATAAGTTGTACTAGATTTCCTACTACCATTGCTGCAACTTCTACTACGTTTTGTACTCCCATTTTGGTATAACTTTTCCTACTTTTTCTAATGTTCATAACAACAAGTTTTCTACTACTATACGTTATCAACTACATTTTTTCCTTAACTACTACTACCTAGAATTACTTTCTAGAATTTCTATTAGTAGATTTCCCATTTCTATTACTTTTCTACTTTCAAAATTTGTATCTAAATTTTCTACTACCTTCTTGGTTGCTACTACTTTGCCCCCCCAAAATTTCTACTAAGTTTTTCGCTACAATTTCTAGGACCTTTTCTAGTACATTTTTCACTTTAACTTCTACAACTGTTTCCCTATAAGTTCTACTATTATTAAATGTGAATTCTACTACTTTATCTGCTCTTGTAGAACTTATATTAATTTTTAGCTGCAATTCAACTACTTTTTCTTTTAGCATCTACTAACTTTTTCCTAAAACTTCTACTACTTGTTTACTCCCCTACGACATAATTTCTACTATTTTTAAATATGAGCTCTATTTTTTTTCAACTCAGTTTTTCTACTACCTTTTTGCATACAACTTCTACTACATTTTTATCTTTTTCACATTCATTCGAATTTCTAAAAAGATACGACTATAATTCTACTTCTCTTCTGATCCCTTTTTGTTTATAACTTCCACTACTTTTTCCATTCCTAATTTTAAATATTTTTATAGGAAAAACGCGCGAAGGGAAGATATAATATATTACTCTTCTCTATAGTTTAATTATTAAATATATAATTCTTCATGTCTGGACATATGTTAGTACATATATATATGGTATGTAAGTCTGAATAACGCACATGCTAGTTCAATTTGCTCGTCCTAGTTAAGACTTTCACGGTTGTTCTTCATGTGTCAACGTGTTAATTATCATCCAGTAGCCACAGTGCTACCAGATTGTCAATCAAAGTGTTTGGAAGTGTGACTAATTTACACAATTTGTAGCTGTTAAGCAATGTCAGTTAATCTAACAAGAAGTAAGGCTGTAGTCAGGGAGTAAAACAGACATTTTTAGCTTCGGTTTCTTCAAATACTGTGCACTTGTAAATTTTGTTATGTTTATAAGGGTGATCCTTAAAATTGAGTTTATTTGTTCAGTCTAACATATTTAAGTCAGGGATGGTTGAAATGTGTTGCTCAGGGGTCAAGATTCAAATTACTTAAGCCGCAATTAATTAGAATACAAGTTTATAACTGATATATATCTATGATTGTAAGGACCACCTTAATGCGTTTACAATTGTATATTCATAACATTAATATTTGCTTAGCTACTGGCTTCCACTCAATTTTTTGCTTGACCATATCCAAACTTACGCATCATATTAACGTGAATCTTCAATGGGTGTAGTCTTCACGCTGGTAAGCTGCATTACACGCGCTAAGCGCGATAAAAGCTTGTTCTACACTTACTATTTTTTACTTGCGATTCAGTAGTTAGCATTTTATGGTTGTTAGAACTCCGTTTATATTTAATTTGGAACGCTTGTTTGGTTTTAAGCGCCTACACACGTCCAACTAGCTGCCGTTTAAGCTCGTTCGCGGTGTCACCGACTGCAGTTAGTACATTTTTGCTGCATATTGAATACACCACGGGTAATTTTTGTTAGCCACCACTGTGACGCTTGCAACATGTGTGCTGTTGGAGCAAACTTATCCCCACCGAACAAATCCATGCCATCAAACCAGAGCGCCCCTATAAAAGCCAATACAACAAATATATCCATATATTTGGTTGTTTAGCACGTTTGTTGTTGTTGTCGTAGCAGCAGCTCTACACTCAAATGTGGGCCATTAGGCAATTCTATTCTGCCTGTTGCATTCATTCACGGCGGTTCACCATGCAGCTGCTGGTAAACAGTGGCGAGTGGGTTTGAAGCTCTTCACCAGCGTTCTTCTCAAGTGTGTGTATGTGTGCGTAGTGAAGCTTGAATGCGGTTTGCTTTTGTTGTTTTCTACGGGCGTTGTTTGTTTCGGTTTGATGGCGGTTTTTGTTCGAAGACGCCAATTGTTTTCTATTTGACGGTTTCCCTCATATCTGGGGACTGGAAATGCTTGTGCGAATTTTTCATGTTTACCATAAGTTTACTAATTTATATTAAGAATAGATGTATGGAACTTCGGAAAAATTAATAACGGTAAATTACTGATTGTGAGTTTAGAGTAATCAGAGTTATTGAAAGATGTGAGAAAGTTATAAGTAATATTATAAAAAATTTCGAAAACTTAAAAATGGTAATCTTGACTTTATATGTTATGTATAACAAACTTAAGGAGTAAATATATTTAGAATACTCTCCAAACATTTAAAATCAATCCGGCGAATAGTTTCGGAGATATACCTAAATGTATTTGTTAGAATTATTGACTTAGTGTAGTCGGCTCCCAAAACTTTATATGCGTTTACCCGAAACGTTATTTTCACAGTGAAAAAAATTTCTTCTGTTTTTATCTGGTATGATCGAAGTTTGATTATAATTTAGATTTTGTAAGTATCTCTGAAGTGTAATTTTTTTTTACATAAAAACAATTTTTTTGGCATAAATGAAAATTATAAATAGTCCTTTTGTATTTATATTTTTTTTTTTTTTTTTTTTGGATTTGAGATAATTTTAAGCAGACACGTTTTACTTATCACCAGATGCCTATTTTCTGATCTACAAAGCTATGGGATCAATGGTGTCCAAAATGTTTCAAAATGAATCGCCGATTATTGAAATAATTCATATATATAATATTATATTATATATAATATATGATATATTATTTTTATTCGTCTATTAAACGCCTCTGCAAAAAAATTCACAAACAAGACTTTTTCATAATATGCAAAAAAAAAAAAAATTAGAAAAACTCGTTTCTGTTCGCAGAGTACCTTAATTTTTATATACGTAAATATCGTATATCACATATCTCTTTTACTTGCAAGCTATTTACTTGCTCCCTTAATGATTCAATTACTGCATTTTTAAAATTTTTTCCAGCATTAAACTTCGTGTTTTATTATTTATGTCTGGTAGTTGCGGGCTTTCTGCCTTCATACGAGCCGTATGCGTAATAAAATATCTATAATACATATTTCCAGTTTGCGCCACTGTACCCGCCAGCCTTCCAGTTGCAACAAAACACAACATTACAACCCCAAAACGAACCTACGGCGAACTTGTTTTCAAGCAACAGTTGAAACGGCAGTTAAAGCACGAGCATGGAAACGACTACTCATACAATTCGGTTGGCAGCACATATTTTAGCCAATTACCAGTGCTAGCTGCGGTACACTTAGCAAGTTTAGTTTACAATACGAGCTCTTGGACTAATGTTCATGGGTGATGCATACCGGGCCAATTTTAGTGAACGGTTTAATAGCAGATGGTCAATTTGAAAATAAAAATCCAAAAAAAGTAAAAAACAAGTAATGATTAATGAAAAGTAAATTAAAGTAATTAGAATAATCACTAGCATTACATAATTAAAGTGGGCAATGATTTAAACAAAACACACAAAGAAAGAGTGCAAATGGAATATAAGTAGTAAAAAGTATGCTAACATAATACAAAAAAAAAAGAACAATGCTCCAAAAGCGAATTTTAGTGAAGTGCGGTAAGCGTTGACGCGCCCATTTGGGAGTGTGGTGCGGAGCAGATAAGTGTAACGTAGTGCACTCAGTGAGCTATTTCGGCGTTTGGCGCCCACAAAATTGGCTTGCATTTTTGTTGTAACTGTTTTAACATTTTACCCGCGGCCTGCGAAATAAAACTAACAAAAATACTAATATATTTGTACATATGTATGTGTGTGTGTATCAATGTGAGTCTTTCTATATGCTTGGCTTAGGCGACGACAGCGACGCGCCCGACAAGATTTAAGAGTTGGCAGTGGCTCAGCATCTGGGCTTTGGCTTGTTTGATTCCCTTCGTCTATTCTTTGCTTACATTTTGCTGTTGTTGTCTTTTCCGCAACTGGCTTTCAAGAGCTGGCTATCAGCGGTGGTGGCAGCAGCGCATTTGCAACCGTTGTGGCCGTGTGTGCCACTTTTGTTTGTGTCTCTCCGTTTGCATCTCTGTTTATAGTGCGCGTCCAACTTACTGTAAATTGCAAAACAGTGACATACAACACAAGAAAATCGAGAAAAAATATAGCTAAGCTAAACAAAGCGCAAAATTATTGCTAACGTGCAACGTGCGTGCGTGTGTGTTTGTGGCAACTAGATTAGTCAGCTGTATATAGATTATTACGCTAACTAAGTGGTATTAACTTAATTAAAAATAAGAAATTTAAGATACAAAATATTACATAATACTTAATATTCTGATAACAGATATAATTTACTCAACATAAAACCACAACAATAATAACAAAGCTAATGAATCCTAATCATGAACTGAAAGTGTTGATTTTTGAATAAAAAGAAAATAATAATAATAATGAATAAAAAAAATTAAAGAAATACAAAAATTTATTAAACATTTTGAAAAACTACAGGTAAAAGAGAAAATACAAAAACAAAAAAAAAAATAATAATAATAAAATTATATAAATACAGTAGCAACCAATAGGATTTTGAAAATATAATGGAAAAATTCATCATTCGATTAAAATATAAGTGTCAATTTCCTCCAAAAAGATCTGAACAATTTTGGAAACACAAAAGCGTGAACGTGCTGCATAATTAATATTCAAAGTAAGCCTGAAAACTAAGTTCAACACTATTTGCATATTGTGTGTGCATAAATAAACATTTGTCTGGTTGCTTTGAAAGTTTTCCCTGCAACATCTCATTTATTCTCCAAACGCCAAGTGGTTGATTTCTTATTCTTGTGTTAAAAACTTTTAGAACGTACAAATACAGTTGGCAGCGTATAAATAGGCATTAGGTGCGCGTAGCTGCTTCATTCAGTGAGGTGAGTCCTAAAAATAAATAATTAATATGTAATAGATATGCAAATAAATAGTGGTTCCAAATCTCTTAAGTATGTTGGCATATATTTTATGATAATTTTTTAAAATTTTCTCGTACCATGTGTCTAGCAATTGGCTGTTTTACCATTGCTAGATCCTTGTTCAAACTTTACTCCTTATTTGTGTCCCTCCCGAAGCCGTTAGCGTGGATTAATGATTATTGGAAAAAAATTCGAGTTCAGATATTTCGCGAAAATTTAGAACTTTATTACTAATTAGAATGGGTGGTTAGAGGAAGATAGAATGGTTGAGTAAAATTTTATGTCAAGCTTCCTGCCAATAGTTTTTCCATATCTCTAGCTTTATATATTACATTAGGACGATAGACTGTGATATTAACAGATAAAATATACATTTACTTTCTAGAGAGAAGAATTTATGTACTAAGTCTAATATAGAATTTGTTGGCAAGATATACATATTATATTTTACAATATGTTTCACGATAGTTTACAGAAATTCTCCATGAATTGTCCAGTTTGTATCCAATTCAAGAGACCTCTGAATTTCTATATCATACCACCGCGTCATAGAGAGAGCTCAGAACTTCTCACTCAGACTAAAAGAGTTTCAGCTTTCGTCGCTACATTTTTTAGTTTGTGGTCAAAATGTTATTCGTGATTCGTGATCGAGAACTACTTTAATGTAAATATCTGTTTTCTTCGTATGCCAATATTCTAATTCTCTGAAATTAGTAAGCAGTTGTGATTTAGGGAAGATTTTTCAACAGATTTTTGTTGAGAGCATTCAATTGTCTAGCCCTATATGTGCTAATCACCACATATTTGTGAGATTAAGTGTTTGATAAATAGTTGCATTCCTCACTAGCTTTCAGTTTTTCAAATACACTGTACGAAATTCGGCTGGGTAATAGACCAAGGCACCACTCAACCTTTTAAAAAAATTTGGTTTGCTTCAATACTGAGAAAAAAGAAGGTTTTTTCCGTATAATGTTGTGACTGACAAAGCAATAAGTTCTTACACTAAGGTAAAGATAAACACAAATATATAGCTCTTAGACTTATCAAGTGTAGTTCTGTTGCAATATTGTGCAAGAACCTCAATTAACAAAGCTTTTCTTCTATAAATATGTAGTCTAATATTTTATCCACAAATACCCGTATGTATACTATCCAACACTTTAGACCAGTACGTATATCATTTCTTGGATCAAAAAGGTGCATCATTCGGTTAAATCCGAAACATTCCCGATTTTGATATGGAATACTTCCTAACACCTTAAAATGTTCAGGTCATTTTAATACAAGTAACATGAACGTAAACTTTAAAAAAATGGTGATACAAGTAAAAATCGGACGACTTAACTAATGCTGTGGGCAAATACCTACCATTTCAGGTTCTCAATGCCACTGAAACCTCCGAAAGATTTTTTATTGTCCTATCACTTGCAATGTTTTTAATCAATGTAAGCGATTTATTTATATTTGAATACTAGTGAGTTGTGCAGACGATTAAAGCAATCCATGCTTTTATGACTTTTACCAACTTTTGCAACAATAATGGCTTGAATTACTAGACATGAAGAAACTAATTATTAATTTCTATCATTGCTTGTGAATTATTCTTGCTCGACCCTAACTCTTGTTCTTCTTTGCACTTCCATAGTTGCCGCACTAAAAAATAAAAAATCTAATTACTTATGCATACTTTTCAAGAAGCAAGAAGCTACTTAGTGGACGTTCATTCAAGCGGACACATTTCAATTCCAAGTCTTACAAACTAATTACTTAACTGTGCCGCATTTCGCCAGCCCACAACGGTGCATAGACGTTTATATGTATGTGTGTGTGGTTGAGTCTTGAGCAGTGAACTTTCATTGTAATCTAGCCACTCATTGTTCCAAGTATGTTTTTGTAAGAAATTCTTTGCGATTTTCGCGCTTACTAAAGCACCAGCTCGGCGTGGCGGCGTAATTTCCGACGAAAAATATTTGTCTTACATAATTTACTTCGTTTTCGTTTGTGTGCTTGTCTGAAATTTTCTTCATTTGGTGTGTGTTGTCAATGCCACAGCCTGTTGGTACTTGAATTATATTGTTATTAAAATGTGTGTGTTGCACGTTTGTAATTTTTTAATGTGACAATAAAAGTTTTATTTTTAAGTGTCATTGCTGGAACTAGTTGCTAAATATGTAGTTATATATTATTATTTTTTGATCCCAAAATGTATTCTTTGTTTTCGAAAAATTATAATTTATCTAACTTATATTCCTATCAAATTGAAATCCTACGATCTTGGTCTTTCAAGCGGAAGTGATGATCGCTTTAATATTTCTAAGAAGCAGCTATTTCTGCAAGTTATGTATGCACTCCGATATCAGAGTATAAGTAGAAGCTAATCTGGTAATGCCTGTTCACAGCGGAATCGCTGAAAACTTTAAAGCCGATGAGCTTACAAGAAAGCAATCATACCCAAATCCCATCAGAATAGACACGAGCAGGTGTTCCTCTCTCATCTTGCGTTCTGGGGTTGGATCTATGGATCTCGCGCGAGCTCAGCAAGCGTTGGTCAGCAATCAGCACATGTAGGGTTGCGAAGTTCGTTAGAGGTTTATTAAATTACTTGCTCTTAGCAATGTTCATTTTACCGCAAGGATAGCAGTTCTAACTTGGCATAGTCCTATTGGCACTCAAGCGATGAGGCTATAGATTTTCGAGGACGCATCTCTTCGATGGTGTATAAAGGAAGGTATACTTTCTCTTTCACTGTCTAGCTTTCCTCAGACTTAGGTTGAAGCATCTCAGTTGTCGTACCTTCTACGAAGCAAGCGAATTGGCTAAAATTGATAAAAATAGAACTTCAATAGTTCTTTGGGCAAATAAGGTCGGAGGCATTTTTGATATTTTGGGTTGACTTTTCCACTTGACGAGATATCTTGAAGAAATTTTGCATGTACTATTGCTTAAAGCAATCGTGTATTCTCAGAAGAAATTATACAGATCGGATTACTATAGCATATAGCTGCCATACAAACTGGCCGATCCAAATCAAGTTCTTGTAAGGAATTTTTTGTATATGTGAAAGTGAGTTAACAATTTTTCTAGTTAAAAAAAATATTTTTTTTTTTCGTTCAAATTGTTGCTAATAAATTTCAATATAATTATTTAAAATATTACAAAAAAATTATGCGTTAACATTTGTGCAATGATGTGGCAATTCTCAAACCATTTCTAAGCCAAAAGTTTGCCAAACAACTTGAAGAAACTAAATGTACGCAATTTAAATTAAACAAGGTTGTTGCATAAAATAGGTCACATGACATGCATAAATACGGTAATGCAAGTAAATGCTGAAGCATAGATACATAGGTAATTATGTTACATGCGCGCAGCAATAGCAAATTCAAATATTTGTATGTGCGCATGCGCTTGCTGCGCACACTGTATTGTGTGCCAATGTGTGTGCAAAGTCACGCATTGCATTACAAACTGCAATAACAGCAACAACAAAACATCAGCTAACACATGAAAGCTTATTGTTGTTGTTGTTGCACATTGTTGCTTTTGCCATCTATGGGCAGCTAACAGAATTGCATCACCAGCCAACGGCCATCAGGCGAACGAGTTAGTGGCCGGGCGAAGAGCGAGCAAAACAAACGGGCAAACAAGTGGCGAAGCAACGGCAGAGGCAGCAGCAGCAGCGGCGTTAACCAGAGAGTGAGCGTGTGCGTGTGTACAGCGTATTGTTGGCAGCAAACAAAAGCACACTATGCACTAATGGCAACAGCAACAGCAACATTGACAATAACAACAATAACACTATCTAATGACAACAACTAAAAGTTTGCTTGCTTGTTTACTTTTTGACCATTGCAATTTCTGCTCACAACACGTTCGCTGGCGGTCAGTCCAAAATTTGAGCCAACAGGCGTGTCGGCCACCAAAAGCACACTCACTCACACAACAAAATTTTGTATGTGTGCACTTACAGTATTACATATCAATGACATGTTGCAGTGTGGCTGCTGTTGCTGCTGCGGCTTGGCATCAGCTGTTTTTCTGCACGTTATTTATTTAGCTAAGTGATACTTGGTTTTATATGAGATTTTCTTGTAATTTGATTGCTTCTCCGCTTTATTTCGTTCATATTTCACATCCGTTGCAAGCGTTGTTTTGCGGGTGGTGGCTCAACTGAATGGCTAATCTGCTTGGTGTCTGCTCTCAAATGCGAACGCACGTCATAGTCCGGCAGCCATTTGGTATTAGGGACGCACAGACTGTTTTATGAACACATGCAATATAACATACACATATACATATATGTAAAAATGTTAATGTATATGTAGAAACGTGTTGCACGATTGCTTTTTTTATTGCTAACCATATCAGCAGCTGTTCAGCTGGCAAGCGCCAATTTTTCCATTTACTTTGTTGCCACCGCCAGTGCTAGACACCTACGTGTCTGTATATGTATGCATGTGTAGTTGTGGGTGTGTTTACAGTGAAATGTTGGCTCTTTTGCTTTTCATCGCTTGGATGCGCGCCCAGATTACACTTTCCGATAAACGAAAAGAATTTACTAGTGCAAATTCATGTCGGCTGACCAATTTATGCTTGCAATTCGATGCAATCGCTGATATGGTGGTCTAATCGGTAAAAAATTGGCAGTAAAAAATAAATGGCAGATTGAAAGTTATTCTTTTTAGTTGCGCATAGATAAGGTGGTGTAGGAAAAACCTTTGCGGTAAAGAAATATATAGCAGAAATAAAATTTTAAGTTTTTTCCAAGCTTTGCTTGCAATATTATTAGGTGAATTGTAGACTATGGCTGCAAACATGCGGTCTGTAATATAGACGCTACAAATGGTAGTAAAAAATCGCGGAAACACTTTAATGAACACTATTACTATTATAAACTCCTCAGCTGAAGACCTTGTCGCTAGTGCTGTTATATTTTATAGGTAGTATAGTTATTTACAATT